TTCAAAAATACAGGGAAAACTGTTAAGGTGTGATGTATTATTGATCAAAATCAGGGTTTTATGACAAAAAGGCAAAAACATAAAAATGTAAAGAAAATTAAAACTTTATATCTGTGGTTAGGCTCTGAAGTTGTTGAAAAGATTTGATCGGTGAAAGTGAAAAAAAAATATTATATATGACATTTATAAATTTTATGATGACCATTTTGCGGACCTAAGGTTAAAAAGTATCTTCATTATAAAGGGGTTGCCTCAAGGTTAATGTCTCTCTTATAATCAGTGCTGTGTGAATCAGTTGTGTGAGCCAGAGACGTGAACGGTGTAGCTAGTATGTGACTCTTCCTGCTGCCCTGTGACTGATTTCTGTATATATTAGTTAATGTTATGCTAACTCTTAGTTTTAAAGTAAAGATCAAGGCAATATAAAAAATAATTATAATGATTAATACTCACCTGCTGCATCAGGCGGACGGTCAGTTAGTGTCCATCGCTCAGAGTAGGTTTGCAAGTTGTGGTTTCAGTCCCCGGTCCCTACCACATGTCAAGTGCCTTGAGCAAAACTGAACCTCGAGTAGTTTCTCTTTGATGGGCTTCTACCGGTGAATGTAAAAAGCACTTTGGATGGGGTTGAAACGGTGCAATAACAGCTCCTTTACCAAATCATTTCAATGCAGTTCTTCTTATAAAACACGTTTATTATAAATGTGTTTCGCTGTTTGGGATATAATTTATATATATATTTAACTTCTGTAAGCACTTGCATTTGAAAAGCGAAGAAGTGTTTATTTGGGTAGAAAATATGACACATTTAACACATTTCATATATAAATAGGATAGAAGGATGATTAATATTTGCAATGTTTAATTTCTGTTAGTTAACATTAAACTACTTCATAATTTATTCAAAATTAAAATTGAACGTCACAAATTAATTTTAACAATGAAAATATATTTTCATTAATTTGCTTTTGAAAACCTAGAGGCCCTTTTTGTGGAATCTGGACCACCATTTCGGCCTCGGTGTCCTAAAATAATGATACAACGTGGAGGAGGGTTTTCCTGAGCATGCCCATGAGGTTCACCCCCCCCTTTTAACTGCGGCCGGTTGAACTAGTCCTGGAGGTCGGACAGGGAGTCTCTGCTGGTTGCCCCGTTCTTGTCCCTGGAGACAACCCTGTACTGGGCTTGACGTGCCCTCAGAGATTGTAGTACCGGAGCTGATGTGGTCCGCGGCAGCGAACACCTCCCTTTGATGACGGAGCCCCTGCCTGCGACAACGCCACGAAGCCGCTTTCCTGAAGCTCCACATCTTGACGTACGGGGGATGTACGACGTACCGAACGTACAGCAGGTTTCCTGACGGGAAGAAAGAAGAAACACAAACAAGCTAATGTTCAGACAACTAACAATTCCACTCAGCTAACAAAAACGTTAGTCAGCCATCTGCAACCATCACAATTCACCACGTTAGCAACCAAACTAACATTATCAATCAGATCCGCTCTCCATCATTCAAAAAATCACCGGCACGAATGAATTCTTGGGATACGCCTGGTTCGCTGAAAGCGCTTCATCTCTCGGACTGCGTTTGAAGAGCCTTCGAAAGGGACAGCCTTGGCGCGTCCGCTGTGACGCAATCGGTTCTTCAAATGCAGCCTTCGAAGATCGGGCGCCTGAATTGGGACAACAGCTCTTAGCCTAACCCTAACCCTTAACCCTAACCCTAACCCTAGTATTTAGCCTAACCTAACCCCTAAATCCATCCACAAGCTTTTAGCAGGTAATGTCAAGCTCTGACTTTGACTTTGTGTGGACTCGTCGTTTGTAGACGTTAGCGGACTCCATTATAAGCTAACGAAATCAGTCCACAGGCACACGTAACAGAAATCGTCTCACTGTAGCGACGTCCCCAGACTGTTTGACGGTTCTGTCCTGGGAATCCTGCTGAAGACGAACTGTCGCCCTGGTCAGAGAAAGCAGACAGAGAGGACGCCCTCGAAAAAGAAAAACCCTGAAAGTAAACTCTCATTACCCTCGATTACAAACCCATCAGATTACATTATATAAATGTTTAACACGCTCGCTGAATTGTAGCTCCGACCTTGTAACTCCATGGTGTTGGTCCAGGTACCAGCGGGTTCAGGCCCACAGCCCTCTGAACAGCGTCCTCGGACGCCACCAGAGCGTGGTTCCCCCAGAAACTTTACTGGCCCTCACACAGGTCACTCTGCTGCGAGAACTCCAGATCGGAGCTCTGCCGCTGCTGAATTGTATGAGCTTCACCCGCCGCAGGCTCGTCCCGCTACAGCAGCCTCCGGTCGGACAGGCAGCCGCCCATGGAGGACAGCGGGGCGTGGAGGAGGGACAGGTGGGAAACCCTCCAGGCGCCCCTCCACCGTGGTGAAGCTGCTCTCTTGGGGTGATCCTCAAATCAGACTCACAGAGTCCTCATAGCGCCACCGCCATGTTGCTTCTCCTGGGGGCTGACGGCCAGCAGAGCACCTTGGACGGAGGCTCTCCGGAGGGGGGCATGCAGAGCGTCTCCTCAGGCGACGGCCAGCGGCTAGATGAGGACGGGGCGGTGGTCAGACCGCACAGCAACAACGCTTCTGTGGCTGACTATCTCCAGACAGCAAACCTCCGCCAAGACGCAAACGCTGCGACCAGAGAGCCTGCCAGGGACCCGGGAAGACGGTTCACACACTCTATCTCCCCCTGGTGCTGACTGCAGTAATAGAGCTCTCTCTCCTCTCTCTCTCCCCTGGGCTGACTTAAAGACTCCTCTCTCTCTCTCTCTCCCCTGTGGTGGGCTGATGCAGTTATAGACTCTCTCCTCGTCTCTCTCCCCCCTGGTGGCTGACGCAGTATACGACTCTCGTCTCGTCTCTCCCCCTGGTGGCTGATTGCAGTATAGACTCTCTCTCTCTCTCTCTCTCCCCCTGGTGCTGACTGCAGTATAGACTCCTCTCTCTCTCTCTCCCCCTGGTGGCTGACTGCCAGTATAGACGTCCTCTCTCTCTCTCCCCCTGGGGCTGACTGCAGTATAGACTCCTCTCCTCTCTCCCCCTGGCTGATTGCAGTATGGAACTCTCCTCTCTCTATCTCCCCTGGTGGTCGACTGCCATATAGATCTGCTCTCCTCTATCTCCCGCCATGGGGCTGACTGCAGTAAGACTCTCTCTCTCTCTATCTCCCCCTTGGTGGCTGACTGCAGTATAGACTCTCTCTCTCTATCTCCCCCGGTGGCTGATTGCCAGTATTAAGACCTCTCTCTATCCCCCTGGTGGCCTGACTGCAGTATAGACTCTCTCTCTATCTCCCCCTGGTGGCTGACGCATAATCACTCTTCTCTCTCTATCTCCCCCTGGTGCTGATGCCATATAGACTCTCCCTCTCTCTCTCTCCCCTGGTGGCTGCACTGCAAGTATAGACTCTTCTCTCTCTATCTCCCCCTTGGTGGCTGACTGCAGTATAGCACTCTCTCCTCTCTCTCTCTCTCCCCTGGGCCTGACTGCCAGTATAGGACTCTCTCTCTCTCTCTCTCCTCTTCCCCCTGCGTTGGCTGACTGCCAGTATAGACTCTCTCTATCTCTATCCCCTGGTGGCTGACTGCAGTATAGTACTCTCTCTTCTCTCCTATCTCCCCCTTGGTGGTCTGGACTGCAGTATAGACTTCTCTCTCTCTCTCTCATCTCCCCGGTCGGCTGACTTGCAGTATAGACTCTCTCTCTCCCTCTTCCCTCTCTCCCCCTGGTGGCTGACTTGCAGTATAGACCTCTTAGCTCCCCCTGGCTGCTGACTGCATATTAGAACTTTCCTTTAGCTCCCACTGGAGCTTTATTAGTTATTTGAAGATATAAAAAAGGCAGTGGCTGTATCCAGGATATCTTCACTTCAATTTTGTCTGTGAATTACTTTTAGTTTGGACGAACATAATTACCAAACTAAGCAAGCTAGAGGTGGTAACTTAAGAACTTAATTGAAAACATGTTTATTGTCGTTGCTGTAACTTTGTTTATGATTTCATGAACTGTCCCCTCAGGTTTTATTTTGCTCTTTAAATCAAGCTACCAATAAAAAGGTAGGTAAAAGCAGGGTCCCTATTAGAAGCAGGTCTCCTTTACTAGCCTGGTGGCTCCACATTTTAAAAATAAATTCTAAGCTGCTGTAAATTCTCCACAATTCAATCCTTTAGTTTATTTTGAATATTTATTCTGATTTAAATAAAGAATTTATTTCTCATCTTTGTTGAGCAAGATATTTGTACAAAAGGAATTAAAGGCCTGTTCCAAATAAAGGCATTCAGTGGTTGAAGCAAATAAAAGATATTAATTAATTACAGTACACTGGTAGACTAAGAATAAAAATACTGGTCCTCTTTTTTTGGAGATATTTGTTGAAAAAAGTTTGGCTATTGCTGCATACATTTACAAAAAAGAGATTTATTTTAAAATGCTTAAAACCAACCGTGGAGTAAACTGCTTTAACTTGAATACTTGTTTCATTAAAGTTTAAAAAGCTCTGACCTGTGTGGTTGTTCCAGCTGATGACTTCTTTCTGGCTCTGCTGTCGGACGAAGAACACCTGATCTGCGTCTCTAGAGACAGTGACGTGGGCGCAGCCTGCAGGGATGTGGGTGGTGGGTTTGTGGTGGGTGTCGTACTTCAGACTCCACAGGTGGACGCAGGTCGCCGCCGTCGAGGCTGAAACCACGAAGTCATTATACAAAGCAACTGATGTGACGGGAGCGTCCGAACCACACAGAGTGTCTAACAACGCTCCCGTGGTCACCGACCAGATCTGAGAAAGAAAATTCACACAGAATAACAAACACATAAATACTGTGAAGGTTCAACTCACATATATTTTCCAGCTGCAAGTTGTATGAAGCCTGTTCTACCCTTCAATATTCATAAAAAATAAAGAGCCAAAAAAAAACAATCTCCAGTGGTTAAACTGGTGTATGTGGTTTGCCTGCAGCTGCTTCACAGTAAAATAATTCCAGGCTGAAAGCCAGAAAGAAGCAAACACAAACTGTGGGGCCTTACTGTGAAGCATCTGGAGGGCTTTTATTGTGAACCTGCTGGACAGACTCTCTGTGCCATTTTTGATATTTTTAAATAACCAGAAAGCAGAATCAGATGAGGTTTTATCAATCTGTGTCTGACCAGCGCTCACTCTACCGTCTACGTCTACTGTATCTTGGTGTTTCGTCTGTTACTCGTATGAGTTGGTCAGCAGCTCCGGAGGCGAGCAGCCTGCAGTCTGACGAGACGCAGGCAGACAAAACGCTGTCGTCATGTTGGAGGTCGAGGAATCTGTCCACAGAGTCTCTGTCGATGTTAAAGAGGGTCAGAGTCCGATCGCTGCCTGCAGAGGTCAGAACACTCAATAAACCAGCGTCAACATCAGAGACAGCAGCAGTGTTGATCCTGTTGTTTTCTGAAAAAATGCTGATTATAAGAGATTATGAACATTAATATATCAGCTAACATTATATTCCTAATAAAGAACACAGATCACATGGTGTCTCTCTCCCTCTGCCTGGGTGTTGTATCGCAGCCTCTCTGTGGTTTGATTTTCCATACCGGTTCTGCTCCGACAAAACTGCTGTTTTATCATCTACGTCGGCTGAATTAAGGATTTTTATTTTCCACCGAAACCAGAGTTGCTGATTGTTGGAGACACTAACAGAGATGTTTTAATCACTTTTATTCTGTTTCTGTCCACTTTAATGAAGTTATGTCGTTGTCAGACACTGAGAATAACAATCTGAGTTTGTCAGTGGCAGAAACAACTTTTAGTGGACACACACACAGTTCTGGTCTGAGATGCTGAAACTCTGGTGCAACGTCTAGTGGAATCGTCTAAAACTTTGAATGGTGAAAGCTGAGATGTCAAAACACAAAATAAAATCTTGTTTTAAAATACTTTTTTGAAATCCTCATTAACACCAATGAATGAATGAGTATATGTGCAGTGGACTTTGTACAGGAAGCCTACGGGACGAGCCAATGGTGCTACAAGATCTGTGACTGTTTGTCACTGTAAACACAACTTAAAGTAATGTTGCACAACAGCCTGAGACGGTGAAATAACTAAAATCAGAAAATGAAAAAGAGAAATCACTACAGAAGGATGGGAGTTAAATCAGAGTCGTACCTGCTATCAGGATTTTTTCCTCTTCAGTCACTGAAAGCAAAGAAGGAACCAGTGGAAACTCAGCGGCTGTCTGTCGCCCCGTCCTGGAAACCTGCAGACAGTAGAGAGGCACTAAATCTTTACTTAAGTACTTGAGTAAATGCACTCAGTTACTGGATGTCCGATATGTGAGAGACTTACCTGATAGAGGAATCCTTCGTTAGAAACCACAAACACTTTTCCGTGTTTTGGTAACGTCACAGAGTTCCCCAGAGTCAGACCTCTCTGTGCGTTCTCCAGCTGAGTCTCCACAGTTTGAGTCGCGCTAACAGGATGAGATATTCTGACCACACCACAATCTGTCAGAGAAAATACAGAGTCCTCCAGAACTCCCAGAACCACCGACCCTTCGTCAGCACTGCTGCTACCGAGGAGCTCCACGCTGTCCAGCTTCCACACCTTCACCTGGAACAACAGCGAGTCCTGATCTGAACACAAACCTGTTCACTGAAGTCAAATGTTAACCCTCTGATTATCTAGATTATATCTTACTGAAGTCACAGTCTTCGTGTTGGTTATAATGTGAAAAAACATGATAATACTTTTCATGTTATAATGTGAATCTGATCTTATGATGTTGCGCAGGCACTGAGAGCTTGTGCGTATGTATTCCTGCTGGTTGGTGAATAAACTGCTAAAGACAAAGTGTTTATTACACAACAGAGTTAGACTCACTGCACCGACAGCAGAAGCATTAGCAGCGATAACAGTGCTAAAGGTAGCTTTAGTATTTGTAGTACCTGTGTACCGCTGTAGACGAAGAGCAGCTGGCTCGGTTCAGACAGGTGGAGGTGAACTGACGAAGGGGCGGAGTCAACAGGCACTGCCTCCTGGATGCAGAGAAGCTGTTGGCCGTTTGTGAGGCTCCACCTCCTCAGAGAGCCGTCAGCAGCCAATGAGAGACAGTGGGCGGAGCTTTCAATCACTTTGACAGACAGAACAGCTCCTAGAAAACACAGATACACAGGAAATTATTATTAATAATACTGAATCATTAATATCCCTGAATCAGCGCAGACTGACCTGTGTGTCCCAACAGTGAGTGTATGAGCTGCTGGTCAGCGAGGCTCCAGACCGCCACCACGCCGTCATCTGAACCCGCAACCAGAAGCTCCGCCTCCACACTGATGTCCTGACAGAGGACACCTGGAGACACAGCCACAGGTAAATAATGGACAAATAGGAGGTACTGGTACTTCATTTCTACGTTGAAAATGTCATTTTGCTTCTTTTAGTTTCTGACCTCCCTGCAGTCCAGTCAGTGTGTGTTGCAGCGCCCCCCCTGGCTGCCGCAGGAAACTGCACTTAGGAACCAGGATCGGCTCCGGACACGTCAGTAACCACTCCTCACATTGGCTGCACAGCCGGCCAATCACAGCGGGGAAAGGCGTGGCCAAGGAGCAGAGTCTGGCCAACAGCTCGGTGTAAAACAGAGACATATCTGGAACCAGGAGAAATCAATTATTACATTTGTCTAAAAAAAAAAGAAGGAAACATTCACTTGCATTTACAGGTGGAACCTTTTTTTTTTTTTTACAAAAATTTAAAAAGACAGAATGTTAAAGTTTAAATATTTTAAACTCTTTTACCTGTTTGAACAAATGGAAAAATGTAAGTTACAAAAATGATCTAGGAAAAATATATGAACAAATATATAATAAAAACAATTGCCTTGCTTCCAAACATTTTACATTAACTTCTTATTTGACATAATTTTGGTTTTAAAAGCAAAACTCTGAGGGGCACCTTTTATTCTTGGAAACAAAATATGTAATGTTGACACAGAATAACTGACCCATGTGACCGTCCAGGAAATCCACACTGGGTTTCATCAGGACCAGAGCGTCTCTAACCAGCCTGGTCTCAGTGCAGTCCATGTACTGGGAGCACTGGTCCAGGTCCTGGATCACACTGGACAGCCCACACACCCGACTCTTACAGTAGAGCCACTCAGCACTGCCTAAAAAACACAAAAGAGAACATCTGACGTCAAATCCATCAATCAATGAATTTAAATTGTAAAATTATATTAAAATGATCAATTATTAATTAATTTGATAGCTGATAAATCACAAGCATTTATGTCCTTGAAAGAGCCTGACTTAAAGCAATAATAAACATTATAATAATCAAGACCTTGAAGTTTGGTTGGATTTACTGAGCAATAAAAAGGTGATTAAAGGTAATGAAATGTAGCCTGAGAGGGTTTTATTAAAATTAGTTTTAATTTTTAAGGTTTTTTATGTGGAAGAAATTTGTGTGCAAATAGTGGTGGGGGGGGGTTTGTCGGCATATGACTGTTTTCCAACATAAAAACTTTTGATAGCTTTTTATGCACCAATTTTGGTGAAGATAAGATGAAATATGTGACAAAAGAAACAGAAAATCAAATCCAAAATGTATCTGTATATATCACACTGACGCCTGCCCTGTATCTACAACATTGACATCTGCCCTGTTTCTACCACACTGATGGCTGCCCTGTATCTACAGCATTCAGCTATACCTTGTATCTGTCCTGACCTTTATAACATACTGTTATTGTCAAATCTTTATTAACTGTCTTTGAA